CAAGCTTGCCTGAAGGTCAGTGCAAAGCAGGTACACTAGTCAGCCACACAGGCCAGGCAGTGGTGGCACACACCTTTAATCCCAGTAGCCACACTAGTTAGCCAGAGAGGCCGGGCAGTGGTGGTGTACACCTTTAATCCCAGCACTAGAGAGGAGTATGAAATGGGAGGAGACAGGTCTCAGTTCAGTCTCAATCTGAGGATTCGTGGAGGCACGATTGTCCATTTTTGGTCTGAGGTAGAGGTAAGAGCCAGTGACTGGCTGTTTTGCTTTTCTGATTTTCAGGTTGAACCCCAATATCCATCTCTGGCTTTTCATTATTCTTGCTACATGCTCTTTCGGAGGTTCTGAGTAAAATTCCCAGCAACCATATGGTGACTCACAACCATCTAGAATGAGAGCTGGTGACCTCTTCTGGCATGCAGGCATTCTTGCAGTCAGAACACTGTCTACACAATAAAAAATGTTACAACAATAGTATAGAGAAATTAGCATTCTTTTTTTGTTTGTTTGTTTTTTGAGACGGGGTTTCTTGTGTAGCCTGTCCTGGAACTCATGCTGTAGAGCAGGCTGGCCTTGAACTCACCAAAGAACTGCCTGCTTCTGCCTCCTTAGTTTTGGAATAAAAGGTACGTGCTACCACCACCTGGCTGAAATTGGCATTCTTATACCTGATTTAAAAAGTATGTGTATGTGTCTTTTACTTGCGTGTATGTTTGTGCACCTTGGTGCTGAGGATCAGAAGAACAGGCTGGCCTCGAACTCACAGAGATCCACCTGCCTCTGCCTCCCGAGTACTGGGATTAAAGGCATGCGCCACCACCGCCTGGTGATGCTTCTTTTTCTTGAGGGCTGTCCTCTTGGTTTGCAGCTTCACTTTGTTCTTAAAGTGAGGGAGAGGGAGCAGAAGCACTGCTGTGTCTTCTTCTCAGTAACATGGTCACATGAGACATTTCCTATGACCTCACAAAACATATCTTTCTTATAGATCTTGTCTTTGCAGTCACTGGTGACAGGGGCTTCCACATAAGATTTTGGAAGGACATGTACTTTGAGTTCACTACAAGCAAATACACTGCATAAAACCTGAGTGTTTTATGTACTAATTTGTAAAAATATGAAAGACATTTTATAGACAAATTATTGATGTAATTTAAATATGGACTATATTGCTGGTGCTGTGTGATAATGGTAACCGATGGCGGTATTGTGATTACCCTGAAGAAGAAAACTCTTATGTTGGAGGAGGCTGCTTGTTGGTTCCCTGCTGCTCAGCTCTGAAATAATCACACAGAAACTGTATTAATTAAATCACTGCTTGGCCCATTAGCTCTAGCTTCTTATTGGCTAACCCTTACATATTAATTTAACCCATTTCTATTAATCTGCATATCACCAGATGGCTGTGGCGTGCCGGGAAAAGTTCCTTCTGGTTCTGGTGGGGCTATGCGGCTTCTCTCTGACTCTGCCTGCCCTTCTTTCTCCCAGCATTCAGTTTCTGTTTCCCCGCCTACCTCTATTCTACCCTATCAGGCCAAGCCAGTTTTCTTTATGCATTAATGGTGATCACAGCATACAGAGGGGGAAATCCCACACTCTTATTTATTAAGTTCTGTATTTAAAAATATTTAGGGTGAATTTTCATGATACATATATGTTACTATCTAATATTTAAACATTATTTCCATGAATGAAATTCTCATGGCTGAATTTTTGACTCCATTTTCACATTTTTACATCCCGGGATGAACAACGGTCACCTCTGTTGGAAAGGGCTTCCTGAGCAGTTCTAAAGAGCACTATGTTTGAGTCCCTCTTTTTCACAGAAGTAGGGACAGCAGCCTTAGAGAATACTTTAAGACAAACATACTTGGATCTAAAATAACAGACAGGGTCAATCCTGCTTCCAGAGCCCAGAGCCATCTTCCCTTGAAACTCAAACAGCACGTGACAGTTTGACAAAGCAATGTACATTACATTTCCAGACCCTTACACTTGTACAAGTGCCTTCTCCACTGAACCATCGCCCCCGCTCTGTATTTTCTGTTTATAGAAGCATCTAGAATTGAATTGTTTCTATTTATAAGATAATGCCATAGTTTGAAATATTTCCCCTGAAAGTACTAGTTAGAAAATGTTAGTATACATACATGCTTTGGAGAGTTAGTAACATAGTTTCTTCAAGCATTCCTATTAAACTTAATAAACTAACAGATTATTTTACCCATTAGTGTAATAGTTTTGCTTTTGGCCTTTTCATGAATATACAATTCTTTTGGTTTCCATGGATCCTGAGGCTTGGTTCATTTTGATTTGCTATAAAAATCTTTGGGAATATAATTCCTTTCAAGCAATAGATAGTAATGTTAGCTATGTAGAGGATAGCGTATTAACAGTTAAATTGACTAGTTGAATGTTGGTGATTGATTGAAGAACAACACACCCTAAATTTATATGGCTTCTTTTTCCATTTAAGATAATTCCCAGGTATAGCATTTTGTGTCTTGGCTCATCTGTTCAGATTAGATTCTTGTGGTCTGATGAGTACATCTATTCCCAATCTTGTGATCTGATGATTCAAGCCAGTTAAATCTGGGCTAATTTGCTCATTTCACTTTTTTTTTTTTCTGAGACAGGGTTTCTCTGTGAACCAGTCCTGGCTATTCTGAAACTTATTCTGTAGACCAGATTGGCCTCGACCTTACAGAGATCCACCTGCCTCTGCCTCCCAAGTGCTGGGTGGTGTACCACCACCACTTGGCTCATTTCACATTGTTAATCAGTTATATAGCCATAGGTATATCCATAGAAGTATTTCATATGATTTAGTGCTGTAAGCCACATTGTCCTTTAGTTTATGTTTTTGCATTAGTACTTCTGGTGACTTTTCTAAAGTTTCACTTTATTTTATTAGATTTTTAAGGGCTTAGAAAAGTAATGTTATGAGGTACTTACTACGAGTGAGTCTGTAGACCTAGGTCTGTTTTCATTGCCTCTAACGTAGGTTCCATGTTGAGTGGGTCCTGGAGTATCTAGAGGAAAGGTGTTCTTCCAGAGATCCTCAGATGGGTTCAATGCCTCGAGCTTGTTTGTTTGCTTGGGAGAAATCTTCTTTGGTGATATGATTTAAAGTACACGTTGCCACCATGGAAAAATGAACTCCTTCCAAATACTCTTTTCCAGAAAGTCCTTCTTGAGAATGCCATGCTTCCAGGAACACAGTGTTCTGAATTTATTACAACCAGTTTGTAGTTTAGTTTTCTTTGCTAGTATCTGATAAGAATATGGAAATAATGGTAAGTGATAGCTTGTGAAACTGATATGGCACAAGCAGACTTTATTAATAAGTGTCTTTTGAGTTTTTCTTTAAATGTATATCTTTTTGTAACAAGAAAAATGTTTTGGAGAAACAAATTGGTACTTCTACTTTGCAGTAAAAAAATAAAAAAAACATAGGTTGTTTATTGTAGACATTTTAATATCCCTCACACCTTTTTACTTTCCTCATTTTCTTTTTAGATAATTTCTGTTGGTTGATAATCTGTTAGGCTATCGGTGACTCCCTAGGTCTCCAGAGTTCTCTTTAGTCTAGACTCTCTGAACTCCTATTTATTTAGGTCTTTGACTACACAATTATAAGTATTTACCAAGTACTTTTTAATTTTGTTATATGAAACACTGATTTCTTATGTTCATGATTTCCTGCAAAAGATATACACTGTTTACTTATCATTTCTAATTTAAACCTCCGCATCAGAAACAGACTTTGATTGGAATGCAGTGGGTTAAAGGTAATTATTTTTCCTCTGGGTTTCATCGCAACGAAGAACCTATTTGACCTTCGGAGTAAATGTGGTTAAGTGAGTTTCCCATTAAGCACATTCATTCAGTGTTTAGCACACAGTGAAATAGACCTTTCTGTTTGTTTGCTTTGGGAGGGAATTATTATTTTGCACTACTTTGGAAATGTACTGAGGTTTGAGACCTCACTTACTCACAGTGGAAGAGAGTAAGGAAGACCTAGATTCTGGAGTCAGCTGCTCTGGGGTCAGTTGCTGCTTCAGGACTGCCTCAGTTTCTGTGCTGAGAGAGTACTTAACTTATGGAATGCCAGGAATGACTGAGATTAAATAAATGTGTTTACACAACACAATGCTTAGAAGGAGTCTCAGACATTTGGAAGTTCTTTACAGTCTTTGTCCACAGTCTTTTGTGTACTCCATTTTCTTTTCTTTTTTTCTTTCTTTTTTTGTTTTTGAAGACAGGGTTTCTTTGTATAGTCCTGGCTGTCCTGGACCTCGTTCTGTAGACCAGGCTGGTCTTGACTCAGGGATCCTCCTGCCTCTGCCTCCAAAGTGCTGGGATTAAAGGTGTGCACTGTCATCAGGAGGTGGCATATACTGCATTTTCTGAGTACAATTTTGTAATGATTGTTTTACTCGTGGAAGATAACTTGGGACCAGACAGTCCAGATTTGGATTCGAGCATCATGGCTTGCTAGTTCTCTGCCTAGGCTGGCAATGCTTAAGCCTAGTTTTCTTGTTTTCTAACCTGAGAAGACTGTTTTAGATCTTGAACGAAAATTGTGGGAGGGTGAGTGGAGGGAGTGGGAGGGGACTGGGAGGAGCAGAGGGAGTGGGAATTTGGATTGTTATTTTTTTATTTAAAAATTATTAAATAAAAAGTTTTATAAAAATGTGCACTTAAAGTTGCTTTGCACACTCATGATAAATAAATGTGTATTAAAATTATTAGTCTTTCATTAGTAAAATGAAAAATTGTGAATGCCTCCAGTAAATACTTTTGCCTATTTTTAAAACTCTTAATTTGGGAGTGATTATGATAAGTTAGCCATTTTTAAATAAGAAGATTTTAAGTGGTTAAAATTTGATATTTGGAAAATATAATTTTCAATTTATGCAAGTTGACTTTATAATAAAGGAATATAATGTGTTTGAGAGAGAATATGATATCTGACATTATTCTAATTACATTTTCAGGTTTGAAAACGCAATGGCAGGAAACAGTCTAGTTTTGCCCATTGTCCTTTGGGGCCGCAAAGCCCCTACCCATTGCATTTCATCAATACTGCTAACGGATGACGGGGGCACAATTGTAACTGGATGCCACGATGGACAGATCTGTCTCTGGGACCTTTCAGTAGACCTGGAAGTGAGTATTTGAATGTTTGCTATATACCGAAATATGTCAGAAATTCCTGCCACATTGCGCAGGTCCTTATTCTCCTGCACTTTACAGTGTTCTGGGCATTATTTTTTCAATCTGTGTCTTTATATTGATATTGAGTACTTAACATGATTACTAATTGAAAGGTTAACTTTAAAAAAATTATTTACTCATGTGTATATGTGTGACTTTCTGTGTGTATGTGCACGTGCTGTTAATATTCACAGAGATCAGAAACTGAAGTTACAGGCATTTAGTTGTGAGCCAATCTCTGGTCATCTGAAAGAATGGCATGTGCTTTTTATCACTGCCCCATCTCTCCAGCCCCATGTTTAATTTTTAATTTGCTATTTATAGCAGCGTTTTTTTTTTTCCTTTCTAGGTTAATCCCCGAGCACTGTTATTTGGTCACACAGCATCGATCACTTGTTTATCAAAAGCTTCTGCTTCTGGGGACAAACAGTACACTGTGAGCGCATCTGCAAATGGGTAAGTCGTTTTCTGGGTCAGAGTTCTCTGTGTAGCCCTGGCTGTCCTGTTGCTCTCCCAGTACATTAAGCTGGCCTTGAACTCACAGATCTGCCTGCCTCTGTCCCCCAAGTGTTGGGATTAAAGGTGTGCACCACCACCATCCCACAATATTTTGTTTTTTATTTTCAGATGTTTGGTCAGGCTTTTCCTTTCCCCCCTAAATTTTCTATGTCTTTAAAAAATGTAGATTTTGGGGCTGGAGAGATGGCTCAGTGGTTAAGAGCACTGTCTGCTCTTCCAGAGGTCCTGAGTTCAATTCCCAGCAACCACATGGTGGTTTATAACCATCTGTACTGAGATCTGGCGCCCTCCTCTGGCGTGCGGGCATACATGGAGGCAGAATGTTGTATACATAATAAATAAATAAATCTTTAAAAAAATGTAGATTTTGGCTGAGTATGGTAGTGTACACTTTTAATCCCATCATTTAGGTCACAGGGTCAGGTAGATCTCTATGAGTATACAACCAACCTGGTTTACAAAGAAAACTCCAGGCTTGCCAGGGCTACTTAATGAGATCCCGTCCCAATAAAAGGATGTATTATGTATTTGACACTTACAAATTGTGTTTATAAGGGCAGCGTTAAATAGCACTTACTGCTCTTCCTGAGGACCTGGATTTAGTTCTCAGAATCCATGTCAGGAGACTCACAATCTTTAAATTCTGCTCGAGGGGATCCTCTTGCCTCTACGGGCACCCACATGCATATGGCACACCACACATAAACATATAGGTAAAAAATAAACATTAAAGTCATGTTTATAGATTGCCATGTGACTTTTCTGTTTTTGTACTTTATAACTTGCACCAGTTTAGGGAGAGTTTTTTTTCTATTGCAATATTTTCTTGCACTGTCTAAAACTGAAGGAGGGTGTTTGAATTATAGGGTTTTGTTTTGTTTGTGTTTTTGTTTTTTCAAGACAGGATTTCTCCACATAGCCCTGGCTGTCTTGGAACTGCCTCTGCCTCCTGAGTGCTGGGATTAAAGGCATGTGCTGCCACGCCTGGCTTGATTTATAGTTCAAGGATATCTATTTTTCCACAACTGGTTTTCTGTAATACTTTATTGCTTTTCTTTGCTTTTTGAGGAATTCAGAATATGATGAAAGTAAAAGCACACAGTAGTTTGCATGGCATTACTGAATCAGCAGGCATCTTTGGGGCTTTTAAAAACTCGGTGATGCCAGGCTGTCACAGGAGGAAGGCGGAGCTCTGCCAAGTCTTTGCCCTTGTCATGCCGCTGAAGCTCGTTCTGCCCTGTCTCAGAACGGCCCCTGTGGTGGAGAGGCATGCCACTGAACAGTGTCTGTGGGGCCCAGAGGGGAATAACTGTAAAAAACATTTTTGGGTTTTTTGAAACAAGTTGGAGAACTGTAGAAATTTATATAATTTTTGGGTTGGAATTTATCTTTTGGAACAGGAAGAAATAACAACAAGTAAAATGTAGTACTTTTGTTGTCGATTAAAGGATAATTTTCAATTAAAATTTGTTGTCAATTAAAGGAATACTTGGTTTAATGAGAATGTTGATAGAAAATTGTTTTAGCAAGGCGTGGTGGTGTATGCCTGGCATACCTGTAAGCACTACAGGAGGAGAGGCAGGAGGATTGCTGCAAGATAGAAACCAGCATGACCTCTACTACATAGTAAATTCCAGGCCAACTAGGGCTACGTAGTAAGATTCTGTCTCAAAAACCAACCACCAAACATCACAAATATTTTTTATATCATTTGAGATGTAGCAATGATATCAAAATGAAAAACTCCAGTAAGTATCATTACATTTTATTAATATTTTATGTTAAATATACCTTATTTCTTTAAAAGTCAAGGCATATCAGTATGTCCAATTTTCAGTTTCTTTTTTGGTATTCGTGGAATAAAACTAACATGAATAAGAGCTGTAGAGGTGTGCTGACGTTTGGGTTTCTGTTGACGTTAGCCGATTGGTGTTCTGCAATGCTGCAAGTGCACGGTGCACTGATAACACAGGAGGGCAGTTTAGATACCGCTATCTCTTCCATTGTGTGGCGCTCGAAGGCTGGCTCTGCTTCCTTATCCTTGCTTTGAGCTTCACGAGGGAACAACTGCTAGCTGAAGCAGCCACTATCAGGAACCACTGTGAAGGAGTTGGAACATTCTAGAGAGCCTCACAGGTCTGCCCAGAACTACTCACAAGTCTCTAGCAACCAGTGAGGAGCTAGAAATATATTTCTACTATAAAAAGGATAGAGACACAGGTGGGGTGTTGACAGATTGGAAATGGGATTAGATAGTGAGCGAGAGGAATGGAAAATTTGATCAATAGCAATAATGAATATTAGCTACTTTCCTTCCTGTAATATATTAGTTTCAATGGAAGCTTAACTCTAGGCCACTGTACTTTTCTATATTAGATTCCGAGTGAGCAATCGTTTTGTTTTCTAGAGAGATGTGCCTCTGGGACGTGAATGACGGCAGATGTATTGAATTTACAAAGTTAGCCTGCACCCACACCGGCATACAGGTTTGTATCGATTTCTTTGGCTGAGTCAACACTGTTTATCACAAGTACATCATTAAAACACGGTTTAGAGCATTCAGCTTGTATTTTTATATGAAAAATCTTGGAGAGAGGAAATATGAGAAATTTATAATGGTAAGTACTCCTCAGAAGATGGGAGAGATGCGAAGAGGCTTGGCATGGACGAGACCAATGGAGAAGGATGAGACCAGCCAGTTATCACTGCTGCCTCTGTGGTTTGGGCTCTCCTGGTTACTCAAGGGAGAGCTTGTATAAGACAGCTGTCCAGTGGAAGTTCCTCAGTCAAACTACCTTGAAAGAGACCAGGTTTCTTTTGGCTCATTGTTTTAAGAGTTTCCAGTCCACGATGCAGGTTGCTGTGGCAGGATGCTGGTGGCAGTAATGGGGAGTGAGTGGTGGAACAGAACTACTTACCTCATGGCCACAAGCAGAAGAAGGGGAAGAGCCTGGCATTCTGCAGTACTTTTTAGAGGTGTATCAATGGTGAAAAGACACCCCGCTAGGTGAAAAGTTTTTCCAGCAGTAACCTTTAGCACATGGACCCTCAGGGAAACCCTGATGGCAGATTTCTATGAGTTCAAAGCCAGCCTGATTTACCTAGTGAGAGTTGAAGGCTAGCCAGGGTAATATAATGAGTGAGACCCTGTCTAAAAGAATCCCCCAAGTCTCCCTAAGGCAACAGCAACAAAGTAGTACTGTAACTTGTCAACAAGACTTTCCATACTAATATGGCTCTGACAGTCAATGATAAATGTTTATAGGGAGGAGATGATTGACTGATTTTCTGCCTATCTCTTACCTCAGTGGCAAGAACCTATATATTTTTTTCATCAGTGTTTTTAGGTCATATGTTTTTTATTTGAAAATCATATTGGGCTGGGGAGATAGTGTAGTCAGTAAAATTCTTTTTGGCCTCAAATTCACAAATATCTGCCTCTACCTCCCGAGTGCTGGGATTAAAGGCCTGCACCACCACTGCCCGGCTAGTCAGTAAAATTCTTGTGAGGACCTGGGTTTGAGCCCTTGAACTTTTATAAAAAGGTGGGTGTGGTGGTACATGCTTGCTGTTCCAGTTCTGGGGTGTGGAGCCTGGTGGAGCCTTGGGACTCATTGGCCAGCCAGCGTACCCTACTCTGAGCTTCAGGCGAGTGAGAAATCTAGTCTTGTACAAGATCTTCTGTGTTTAGATTAACAGTCATATATAATAGAAGATGCCTTTTGACTGATTCATGAGGATTATGGCAGTTTATTCTGTACTCCCTACTCAGATCCAGAAAAGGGCTATTTTTTGTTAGTATTGAGACAGGACCTCTCTACATAGCCCTGACTTTTCTGGAATTCACTATGTAGACCAGTTGGCCGCAAACTTACAGGCAAACTGCCTTTGCCTCTCAAGTACTGGCATTAAAGGTGTGTGGCATTACATTGGCAAGGACTGTTTTTATGTATACAGAGATAACCCTTGCTGACATTTGCAATTTCTGAACTTACTGTAATTACAGGAAATATTGCTAAGTGATTATTATAACATTTCATTTTAATATATTTTGAGAATTTCATACATGAGTTTAATCCATTTTCATCATACTTCTCCACTCCCAAGTTCTCTTGTGTTCCCTTCCCCACCCACCTCTTAAATTCTTGTTCCGTAATTATTATTGTTTCTACCGAATCCAGTTAGTGTTGCCTATATGTGCATGGGCATAGGGCTGACTACTTGGGCCTTGACAGCCTGTCAGAGGCCTAGTCACTGGAGAAAACTAGCTCACCCTTCCTCCGTACCTCCCCATCAGTTGGTGTGGGGCCCTGTGAATCCTTCATCCACTCATGCTGGAATGTTGGATGGTATGGCCTTATGCAGGTTCTGTACAGGCAACCACAGCTGCTGAGCGTTCATGAACACAACGTCTATATCATGTCCAGGGAATACTAGAGACATTTTTTTTAATGCTCAAAAAACTTCAGCATGTAATTTTAGACACCCTCCTTCCCAATATCAAAGTGTCTTAAATACTAAATTAGTATTCAGAAAATTGTTTGGGAATATAACATTGCATAAAGGGTGGAGGTCCTTTGCCAGGCAATTCTAATGAAATATTCCTGCTGTCAGGAACGTTCTCTTCTCTGGCAATGTTCTCTGAACTCTCTTTCTACATGACATCCCCCCAATCCTGTATACACAAGTGTCAAGTGGTCCAGGAACCTTCCTTTGTGTACTTCATTTGTTTTTGATCAACCTAGGAGCTGGAGGCACTCCCTTGTGATGTCTGCCTGTTACTAGCCTCTGACTTCACCTTTAGAGTTGTGGTTTAACCTTCACACTTAGTTAAGCTGTCTTTGCTAATGTTTATGCATTGAAAAGTTGTACTCTTTCTTGTACAGGTATTGAATAATTAAGTAAAAAGCACCACTTCCCCGATTGTATGAGGGGGAGGACGGGCTTGATCCTGGTACTGTGGTGGCAGAGACAGGTAGATCTCTGTGAATATGACACCGTGTCAGATGTTGTACGTCCAGAGTTCCAGGCCAGCCAGAACTACACTGTGTTCTGACCCCATATCAAAAACAAAACAAACAGCCTGGCGGTGGTGGTGCACACCTTTAATCCCAGCACTCGGGAGGCAGAGGCAGGTGGATCTCTTGTGAGTTTGAGGCCAGCCTGGTCTACAAGAGCTAGTTCCAGGACAGGCTCCAAAGCTACAGGGAAATCCTGTCTTGAAAACAAAACAAACAAACAAACACAACCAACCAAATAAAAAATCCCAACCAAACAAAGCCAAAGCATGAAACCAAAAATGAGCCACATACATCCCCATGAAAATTATAAAAGTTGCTTTGAATGCTAGAGATGAAGATAAGAAAATGATTTTTTTATTTTTGCCTCATGAGAGTTCAAAAGTGAGTATGTGACATGAAGAAAGGAATATTTTTCTTAAATATTGGAGAGGATTAGTATAATCTGACATGGATGTACCCATATAAAATTCCTAAAATAATTTAGTGTTTAGGGGAATATCATGTTTAATGAGTGCATGTTGATCAAGTAGCCGATAAAGCAGTACATCAACAAATAATATTTTTTAAAATTTGAGTCTAGTTCTATCAATTCACTGTTGGAAATCAGCAAGAAGGAAGGCTTTTATGCCATGGACATTACCCTGAAATCCTCGTTGTGGATGCTACCAGCCTTGAGGTGCTGTATTCTTTGGTATCAAAGATATCGCCAGACTGGATTAGCTCCATGAGCCTTATCCGCCCTCAGCGGACACAAGGTCAGTGTACTATGCCCTTTGGCAGCTCAACTACTGTCTACTTTACTGTGAAGTTCTACAGATTGTCAAAGTTAACAGTTTTGGTTATATTCTTGTGTTCAAGAGATACACGTTCCAATAATTTGTGAACTAGCCCACAAAGTAGTTTCAGCTGGATTAGTATTTATGCTCACCAGCATTAGAGTATCTTCACTCTGTGATGGATCCCTAGACTCTGGGATGCTGTAGCTTGTATGGATGGTCTTCTTAAGTGAGGGTGAGTTTGCATGGTCAGGAGTATGGTGGTGATGAGACCCGTAGCTGCATGTGTGTTTGTCTGCATTCTGGCTTTGTCTCTTGCCGAGAGGTACCATTTCTCATGTAAGAGGATGAAAAGAGAGGAGATAAAATTTGATGAGTTGCTGTAACTGTGTGGTTATACTCAGTAAATATTAATGAGGAAAAGCATTTTTTTTCCCAAAAGACAACAATAATATCAACACTGAGCACAGAGGATTATGCTTCCTACTTGTTTAAGTTTGTGGGAGCAGGCTGTTTAAAGCTAGAAGGGAGCATGCTGTGATTAATGTGGGCTTCTTCCTGTTTTAGAGGACACTGTGGTAGCGCTCTCTGTGACAGGCATCCTGAAGGTGTGGATTGTCACCTCTGAAACTGGTGGCATGCAGGTGAGATGGACAGTGATTTCTTTCTTACTGTATAATTTAAACCTTTAGTAACCAGGTATTCCTAAACTTAGTTTTTTTTTTAAAGGAAAAAGTGTTTCAATTGAAATAATAGAAACATATCATCCAGAATATGAAGTAGAGAAATATAATAGGTGTTTTCCTCCTGCTTTTGTTTAAATTAAAAGTTAGAAGGTAGCTTTCTTGAATGAAATAAGTAAACCACTCATTTTAGTTACTCTTGCACCCCCACCCCCGACAAATTAGTGACAGAATAGCCAACATAAGCCCTCTGAGGGAAGAAGGACCTACTTTAGTTTACGGTTTCAGAGACTTCGGTGGAGTCCTTGGCATGACTGGCCAATAATGAGCGTCATCACTGCACGAGTGTGCGGGGGGGGGGGGGGGGGACCCTGTGCACCTCATGGCAGCTGGGAGAGAGTAAGGAAGGGACTTGGGGTCAGGTATATTTCCAAAGGCATGCCTGCAGTGACCAACTTTGTAACCATGCACATCACCTAAAGTATCCAAAGCCTTCAAGTATGTCAGCACAGGGTGGGCAGTAGGGTTTAACATTGAGCCTGTAGAGACATTTCATGTTCAAACACCAACACCAGGCCGGGCGATGGTGGCGCACACCTTGAATCCCAGCACTCGGGAGGCAGAGGCAGGCGGATCTCTGTGAGTTCGAGACCAGCCTGGTCTACAGAGCTAGTTTCAGACAGGCTCTAAAGCCACAGAGAAAACCTGTCTCGAAAAACAAAAAAAATAACAACAACAACAACAACAAAAAAACAAAGCAAAAAAAAACACCAACACCGTCAAAAAAGCATATACATCTATCTGTTAGTCTTATTTCATGGTACTGTGGCCTAGATCAATTTTCTGACAATACTGGTACCATTCACTTCAGCTAGGGAAATATTAGCTTTTGATCTTGGAGAAAACTGGGGGAGGAATTGATCATTTTTGTTTTTTCTTATTCAAGTATATACAACCATAGGATTGCTGCAGAATCCCATCCTCTGCCATTTCCTGTAAAGATGTTTTCTGACTCACCATCAGAGCTTAAATATTGGTAACTTTGTAGAAAAGACATTTTTGCCTAGCTCTTTTTTTTTTCTTTTTTCTCTGAGACAGGATTCTGTATCCTGGAACTCACTCTGTAGACCAGGTTGGCCTGTAACTCACAGAGATCCGCCTGCCTCTGCCTCCTGAGTGCTGGGATTAAAGGCGTGCGCCACCACTGCGTGGCTGCCAGCTATTTTTAAGAGTACATCTTTGTAGCTTTTACTGCCAGGGCTTTTTCCAAGGATCTAAAATGATAAACGCATCACATGTTACTCTTGTTCCCTGGTGATATCTTTATCATTTTGTGATGACTTTAATTATTTAATACATGTTATTCTTGAGATTTTATGAGTCTTTTTTTTCCAGGATACTGAGCCAATATTTGAGGAGGAATCAAAACCAATTTATTGTCAGAATTGCCAAAGCATCTCCTTCTGTTCATTCACACAGAGGTCACTCTTGGTTGTATGCTCCAAATACTGGCGGGTAAGTTGAGTAGATACATGTGAAGTTGTCCTTTTATCCCTCCTGATGAAGTCTCGTGTACCACATTTTCAAAGATTACCCTAAGGACAGTCATTTGAAACTCCTGTTGGGTTCTGATGTTTTTGGAGGAATTGGGGCTTAATTCCAAGTAGGTTTTTTTTTGTTGTTCTACTCCTGCAATGAATGGTATGAGGACTATGTTTTGTTGGTCTTAATTTCTACTTTTTGTTACTATTTCAGCTATTGGTGGTAATTAGGTCTCTGTAGAATGGACATTTATCTTCACAGTGTGTTACTGAACCTGAATAATACATTTATCACCTGGCTTCTTCAAATTGAAAGTTTAGTGAAACCCTGTCTCGAAAAAAAAAAAATTGAAAGTTTACAGCTAATAATGAGAGGAAGAGGTTTCTTCTACATTGCTTGTCTTTAATAATAGAAAATGAGCCATTGTGCTTTGTTCTGGACTTAGCAATTTTTCAAAGCTTTACATGTATTTTAAAAAATTGTTTATTTTTTGTGATTTTTTTAATAAAATTACATCATCCCCTTCCCTTTCCTCCCTCCAAAGTTTCCCATATATTCCTCCATGCTTTCTTTTAAATTTATGGCCTCCTTTTTCATTAATTTTTGTTATATTTTGTTATATATCTATTCCTAAAGACACAAACACAGCCTGCTCAGTCTGCATAACCTTGCTTGTATGTATATGTCCAGGGCTGACCATGGTATTGGATAGTGAATGGGTATGCCTTTCTCTGGGAAGACCGTTTCTTTCCCAGCTCTCGCACTCCTTAGGTGCCTGTAGTACTTTGAGAAGGGTTGAGGTCATCTGGGCTTTTTTCCATCCATGTTAACATGTCTGTTGTTTTTGTCTTTGGTCAGCTCATGTTTAGCAGTTATGTTGGTGAGACTTTATGATGTAGCTTTTTGCATTTCCAGGAAATACAATCTCAAAGCAAATTCCCCGTTCCTCTGGCTCTCACAGTCTCTCTACCCAGCCCCCTCTGCAATGATCCCCGAGCCTTAGACGAGGGAGTTTTTTTCTAGAGGTTTTCATTTGGACTAGACTCCATAACTGCATTTTGATTGGTAGTGGTTTTCTGTAGTGGTTTCCATTTATTGTAAAGAGAAGTTTCTTTGATGAAGGGTAAGGACAATATTTAGAGTTTAGTTAGGTATTATGCTGGTTTACTATCAGAAAAGTATGCTAGTATTTAAACCTGTCTAACAAATTTCCCCAAAACTTGCATTAAAACAGTAGAAATTATCCTTGCCCGGTTTTGTGGGTGGGCATTCAGGGCCTAACTTAGCTGGGAACTTCCCGTTCAGCGTCTTTCACAGGCTGACATCACTGTGTCCTTTGGGACTTGGATCTCATTTGCAAGTTCAGCTTTGGAGGATGTCTCTCCTACCAGAGCAGCTCCCAGCATGGTAGCAGGCTTCTCACACAGTAAGTGAGCAAGAAAAGGGAATTTAAGACACTCTTAATTTTAGAGTTGAGGGCTCATGCTTTTAGCTGCATTCTAGGGACACAAAATAACCCCTAACAACTGTCTGAAGGGAGGAGGGTGTTAGGTGGGCACATCCAAGAAGCCGCCTACATGGTGGAAACAGTTGCTTTTCCTAACTTAAAAAAGTATTTATTTTTGTCATATGAATGTTTTGGCTGCATGTATATCTGTATACCTACCATGTACATGCATGGTGCTCATGGAGGTCAGAAGGAGGTGCTTTATCACTTAGAACTGGAGTTAACAGATGGTTTTGAACTGTCATGTGGGTGCTGGGAATTGGACTCAGGTCCTCTGAAAGAGCATCCAGTGCATTTTAAAAAATTTTGTGTATTCTTCATGTGTTTGACATCATGCTTCCTGATTCCACCTGTCTTCCCCTCCCCTCCCAATACAATTTAAGAGGAAAAAGGAAGAAGGGGAAAATCTCATCATGGAAGTTTCTGTGTGACACAGTGAGTCATGCAGTAAACCCTTTATCCATACATTTTTACTGCAGGAGTTTATCACAAAGAATCAGTGGTCTGGTTCGAGAACCCCGGTCTCTGCTATACCGTCGATGTTAGGCCCTCACTGGAACTTTTTCTGGTTATCCAGTTGCTGCCCTGTGTCTGGAGATTCTGCAGCCATGGGCTCACAGGACTGACCTGTCCTACCCCCAGCTCTAGCAGATCACATATGGAGTGGATATTGGGGTGGGCAAACACATAAGCCTGGTTCTGGGCCTGGGTGGTTTCAGCCCACCAGCTCTACCCTGTCCTCACCACCATTGTGAGCTCTCCAGCATTGCCCTGGCCAGTTCACCCCTTGCAGTGGTGAGCAAGGGGCAGGGCCACCTTCAGGGTTAGCTATGCTGTGTTGCCCAGGTGAGGTATAGGGGGCCACTTTCCCGAGTGCTGCAGGTGGTGGAGGGCAGGGGCAGTTCTGGCCCTGGACCTCAGAGACAGCTATTCCACCACAGCCAGAGGTCACCCATAGGTGGGACCTGTTGAAGATGACTGCCCTAGATCTCACTGAGAGAATGTCCTCATCTACCGAGTCTTACTGTAAAAGCCTAGGTTTGTTAAATATATTTGCAGAAGTTTTCTTTCAGGTTAAATGCTATTTTATCACATTTAAATTATAACCAACTGGAGTCAATTGAAAAGTGAATTTCTTTTGCTCCTAGGTGTTTGATGCTGGAGACTACTCCCTGCTTTGTTCAGGTCCTAGTGAAAATGGACAGACATGGACTGGAGGGGACTTTGTGTCCGCAGACAAAGTGATCATCTGGACTGAAAATGGGCAGAGTTATATTTATAAACTCCCTGCCAGGTATGAAATATATAGGTTTAGTCAAATGTAAAGAATTCGCAATTTGAGCTGTAACTCTAAAGAATGAATATTTATGTAGTGTAAATATTTAACTTCAGAATGTCTTAAGATCTGTATATAATCCCAATTTAAATTCTAGGCACAAAAAACCAAGTGGTTTTTTTGCATTTATTTATTCACTGTATGCATGTGTGCACATGTGTGTATGCATGTATACTACTGTGCATGTGTGCAGGCCACAGAGAAGTCATGGACATCGGTTCGCTCTTTCCATATGTAGGTTCCCAGGATCAAACTCAGGTTGTCAGGCTTCCCAGCAAACTCTCTTACTTGTGAGATATCTCATGAACCCTCAAAGAATTGTTTTACGTTATTAAGTTAAATTAAGCTTAAAAATACCATTCTTGTCGATTCTAATAAACTCTTATTTATTTTATGTGTGTGTTTATATTTCACATAATTTATTTTATGTGTGTCTGCGAGAGAGAGTGTCTCACTGTGTAGTTTTGACTCATTATGTAGATGAGGCTGTCCTTGAACACAGGTATCTGCCTGTCTCTGCCTCCAAGAGCTGGGACTAAAGGCTGCGCCACCGTGCCTGGCCCTCCTATCAGCATTTTAAGTGGATACCCTCTTTTCCTCTTTCAGTTGTCTTCCTGCTAGTGATTCATTCCGCAGTGATGTGGGGAAAGCAGTTGAAAATTTAATTCCTCCTGTGCAGCATAGTCTCTTGGATCAAAAAGATAAAGAGGTAAAGTTCTTCAGGTATCATTTATAATTGATGGTTATATCGATGGTGTCTAGACATTGGAAAGATTCAATAAAATTTGCAAAAACTTTTGGTATGGTCAATTGTAAACACATTTCAAAAATTTCAGATTTTAAAACTATGTAATATAACTGTTAAATAGTATCTGCCTTTATCTAAGAATACAACTGATCTTATCTTGATTATGTATTGGAATTGGCTTTTTATAAAATTCATATTGACAGTTAAAACACAGTGAAGACAGTTGTTGAAGGGCAAGAATAATTACGTGCTAGTACTTACTAATGCTTTTGTACTAATGCTTTGTCATGCATTGGTTACTCTCTCTCCAAAATCAACTAGTACGTCAAATAACTGGATATTAAAGCTGAAAACTGAATATTTTCTGTATTAAAATAGAAACTGTTTTTAGAAAGCCTTTGTACTGTCTGTTTATATTGGAGCAATGGCTCAGTGATTAAGGTCATTTGTTGCTCTTCCAGAGACCCACAGGGTGGCTCCCAACTGAAACTAACTGTGGTTCTCCGGGAACCAGTACCCCTTCCTGGTCTCTATGGGCAGCAGGCGTGCACGTGGTACACAAATTCAGATGCAGGCAAAAGACTCATAAACATAAAAAAAAGGAAATGCAGTCACACTTATACTGAATTTTCCACTCTGGTCTCTGGGAGTAGTAAGAAAGAAGCTTTGTTTGGGAAGGAAGGTTTTCTATAAGGTTTCTAAGGTTTTGTTCTGGTTCTGGGTTCCATTTTTATCATTCTGAACCTTATGTCCCACACATCAATGGAGATTGTAGGAACGATGAGCTCATCATTTTGAACCTTATGTCCCACCCACCAAAGGCGAATAGAGGATAAGAGAAGGGAATGGATTTTTTCTATGAATATTTTGAATATAGAATTTGTACATCTAGGTGTATTTTAATATCTTGTATAAATTATTTGCTTTCAATTTCTTGAACTCCTACTTGCTACTGTCCAGCTCAGTGAGTCACTTCCAGCTAAACTAAGTGCTAGTGATGTATATGAAAAGCCTACATTAATAAAACAAAATAGTTGCTATGACAAAATACTTCACAAAAGGAAGAAGAGTTCACTTTGTCTTATAATTTGAGGATGCGTCCATCATGATGGGACATCCTAGTGACAGTCATGTAAGGCAGCTGGCTACATTGCTTCTGTGACCAGAAATGTTGGTGCATAGCTTGCCCTCTGCTTTATGCACTCCTGACCCAGCCCATGGGTGCTGACCACACTCAGGATGGGTCTTCTCACTTCAGCTAACCATCTGGAAGATCCTTTACCCATGTGTTCAGAGGCTCCATCTTTCCTGAGTCTAGATCCTGTTGAGTTGATAACCATTAACCATCAAATAAGTTTTCTTCAAGTGTCACCTCTCTACTGTATGCTAGTGTATTTTAAATTGAAATGTGTGTATAATATGGTGAGAGACATTGATTCACTAAAATGTGATATTTGTGGTTATGGCTGCTATAGCAATTCCCTTTAACCATGTAGTTTTTAATTAAAGTTATTAATATTTAAATAAATCTAAATACTTGGCTGTGTTTAATATTACTAGTTTCTAGAGTCTAGTACTTTTTATGATGCAACCAAATACTACAACTAGATTATTTGTTAACTATAATTTTGAAACTGAATTTTATTTATTATAATTTTTATGCTAAAATTCTGTTTGCTAAAATTAGTTATGTAAATGTGGCCAATTAAATGCTACGGACTTTTTATTTTGTAAGATGTGTGGTCTGGAGAAATAGCTTAGCTCTTTAGAGCACTGGCTTCTCTTTAGAGGATCTGGATGTGATTTTTACCACCTGCATGGCATCTCCCAACCATCTGTAACTCTAGTTCCAATGATCTGGTGCCCTTTTCTGGCTTCCACAGGCACCAGGTACTCATATGGTGCACAGAAATGCAATTATTCTTTGTGACGTAGCAGTGGGCAGGAAAGATAGGATTAGTGAATTGTTTTCTTTTAGTGATATATTTTATTTTAATATTTATTATATTTACAATTTTATGCATGAGTACTATATTTGCATCGTTTCCACCTCATGCTTTCCCACCTCCTGCGTCTCCCATGTCCCTTTTCTCCTTCTTATCTTCATGACTTCCTCTTCCTGGATTGTCACTGTTGCATATGTATGCATGTATGAATTCAGTCCACTGAGCTCATGCTGTGTTGCTTTTGTGTAGAACTCTTTGTTTTTGATCAAGAATGACCTAATTTCTAAATTAATTATTTAAAAATAACTAAGTAAATTACCCTGTGGTTGGTAACCAGTTTTTATAAAGTTGAATAAAAGACTATCAAGAGTAGTTTAGAGAAAGGCTATAAATACAGCTTTTCATTCCTTTTCTGTTTATGCTGTACTGCAGGTGACATGAATAGTAATGCCATTAATTTACATGCAAATATATTGAATAATCATTCTGTAAACACTTTCAGAACTGGGATATGGATCAAATAATTGAATACCTTTTTCTGAGCACGTTAATGTCAAAATATTTGATTCTAAATACAACTAAAGAGACTTGATTTTTTTTTTCCCGGCAGTTGGTAATATGTCCTCCTGTTACTCGGTTCTTCTATGGATGCAAGGAATATTTGCATAAACTATTAATTCAGGGCGATTCTTCTGGACGGTTAAATATTTGGAACATTTCAGACATAGCTGAGAAACAGGAAGGTGCTGAAGGTAATAGTAAATCTTGTGCATTAAATACATAATTCTTTCATTATAACATTTTGAATCATAACAAAATTGAAAATATAATTCTCTTCTAAGATTTATATTTGATGAAAGTAACTTTTACATTACCGAATCAGTTAATGTTATGTATTTAATGCTATTTTTATATATATTTTTTTAAATATATATTTATTTTATGTGACACCAAACCTCTACAGGACTAAAAACGACAACTTGTATTAGTTTGCAAGAGGCATTTGACAAACTGAAGCCTTGTCCTGCTGGGATCATAGATCAGCTAAGTGTGATTCCCAACAGCAATGAACCTCTTAAAGTGACTGCGAGCGTCTACATACCAGCTCATGGACGGCTTGTTTGTGGCCGGGAAGACGGAAGCATAATTATTGTGCCTGCCACTCAAACGGCTATAGTGCAGCTGTTGCAAGGGGAACACATGCTCCGAAGAGGTATACTGGGGGTCTAGCTCTGTCCACTGTGCTTTGAGGACATTGTAACCGTGATGTTGAGAATATAAAATCCACTGGTATAGTTGTTAGTCTAGCTGGTAGTTTAATGTATATTTGATGAAATGTTAAATATGACATGGGGAATTAACTACTATAATATGTTATATAACCCAATATAGCAACATTATTTTCATTTGTACTTTTAATTAATATGGTAATTTTATTGAACTATTTTATATTTTTCTTTTGTAATAATTCCTTAGACTATTATGACAATTTGACATGTTTAGCACATTTGGGCATAGACTAGCTCTGTTTTAAGGGCCAGTTAGTCTTGGGTAAGTAGTAGCTACTGAACTTCACAGACTAGTCCTAGAGTATTGGTATGACTCTTCCAGTGTTTATGCTTGCTGGTTGAAGCATTCTGAGACTTTAATCTTCCAATTTTGAATCCCCAACCTCTTTCACAGGTTGGCCCCCTCACAGAACTCTCCGTGGCCATCGGAACAAAGTTACATGTTTGCTGTACCCTCATCAGGTCTCGGCTCGCTATGACCAAAGATACCTGATATCTGGAGGTGTGGATTTTTCCGTCATAATTTGGGACATATTTTCTGGAGAAATGAAACATATCTTCTGTGTTCATGGTGGTGAAATCACGCAACTTCTGGTCCCACCTGAAAACTGTAGTGTAAGTTGCTTTTTCTTAGATGATTTCTCTACAGTAGAGGGGGGTTTTGCTATTAGGCATGTAAATGGAATCCGCAGGGATTTAAAGGAGATACGAGAGTCAACAAAACTCTCAGAACATGTCTCAGTGGCAGTTTGGAGCTTGCTGCGTGAATGAATTGAAAAATTTTGTTTCAGAGCAATTTAAAAATCCCAGAAGATTTTTTCTAATACCATTAATTTTGAGTCCCTCTAATCAGAATGACAGTGAGCATGCACTTGGTAGATGCAGTGTGTTTAGGAACTTACTGATGTAATTTATTTTAACTGTGATTATCAGCAGGGAAAAGGAAACATTGCTATGATAAAGAACTAAACAAAGTGTTCAGGCTTAGAGAGGGATGAAAAACTCAGAGGTTCTACTTGCCAGATAGACAGCCGCCATCATAACAGAACAAGGTCTAACAGCTCTCTACCATTTCCTCACTGGCACTTGTCTCAGCGGACAGTTAAGATGCATTCATTTTCCATTCTTTCTTTACTTTATTTTGGGCTAATTTTTTTTATATCTTTTTTTCAAAAATCCAAACTTGGGTCCTCAGGATTGTGCAGCAAGTGCTCTTGCCCACTGCGCCATCTTTCTAGCCCTTTTGAATGCTGTGCTCTAACGCTCTAGAGCTGTGAGTCTCAGATTCATTTTCTTTCGACAACTGAGAAATCTAAGCAATGCAGAATGAATAACAATTGTATGTTTTCCAGATTTGAGCAACTGCCCAAGGTTGACTTGGGTGAATTATTGACATCTAAAATCTAGGTGAAGGGAACACAAGGGTGCTCTAGATGTCTGTGGAATCTGAGGGAGAGGAGTGGGGAGAGTAAAGGCAGCTCTTACTAATACCCAGGTGTCGCGATGGAAGATGGCTTCTAGCCCTCTGTCATCAGGACTGTCGGTCACTCGAGAATGCTCTGATACCCCCCATCAGCTTTCTTTGCCTCCTGTGCTGTTCAGTGACTTCTTTTTCTTGTAAATTCCAGCATCCATACTTACCAAGACCTGAAACTTTTTGTTCTCACATAGGTTACTGATAGAGAAAGGAACTAGATTTTGGAAAAAATATGAAAAGAACAAAAGAATTCTAAAATACCAGGAGTACTTCATAAAAACATTTCCCTTAAGAAAGTATATGGACAGCATTAGCAGCAATATAAAGCTACAAGGCTAACAACACGAGTAACCCAGTAGAATATTTCTTACTTGAGTAGTAGATCTCTTTGCTTGTACTTTCCACGTCTCCTTGGTTGGTTATCAGTTGAAGGGGGTTGCTGAATTTAGAATGTTTCTGTACATGATCGTGTGCTAACACTTTTACTCAATCCACACTGTGTATTTGGATAATCCAGATACATGCATCGATAGTACATGAATAAAAATTGAAATGAAAGGATAAGTACCAAGTTTAGACTATGGTTTGCTTTTGGAAGTAAAGGGGAAAGTATGGATTAGAACAAAGAATGTGGCTATTATTTATTTAAACAATCTTTTTCTCATTTTACATACCAGTCCCAGTTCCCACTCCCTCTCCTCCTCCTGCCCCCCCACCTTCCCCCCCACCCCCTGCCCACCTCCATCCACTCCTCAGAGAGGATAAAGCTTCCCATTTAAGTCAACTAAGTATGGCATATCAATTTGAGACAGGACCAAGGCCCTCCCCGCTATATCTAGTATGAGCAAGGTATCCCTCCATAGAGAATGGGCTTCAAAAAGCCAGTTCATGCACTAGGGATAAATCCTTGTCTCACTGCCAGTGACCCCACAGATTGCCCAAGCCACACAACTGTCATCCACAGAGAATGTGCCTTTTTTTTGTTTTTCAAGACAGGGTTTCTCTGTGTAGTTTTGGTGCTTGTCCTGGAACTAGCTCTTGTAGACTAGGCTGGCCTTGAACTCAGAGATCTGCCTGTCTCTGGCTCCTGAGTGTTGGGATTAAAGGTGTGTGCCACCACTATCTGGCTGAGAATGTCGCTTTTTAAAATGTAGATTTTATTTGTTTTGTTTTTGGTAAATATGAACCTAATATTTCTTATTAAATGGATGATTAAATTGTCGTAACTGCTTTTTTGTTAGTATATCCATTTAGAGTAGACTATCTGGAAAACTAATAAATAATTAGTACCACTGGTATACTTCTACATGTGGACACGACTTCTTTAATATGTGAGCTAAAAACCTTTTATAAAACTTATTATATGTTAGGGAACTTATGTTGTCACATAATGTCTAAAGTGATCCAGAAGGGGGCAGCATGGGTCTGTGAAGACAGCCTTAGAGGTCTCTCGTGTGATCGTTACTGTTTAATTTCTATTTCCGAGGTACAATTCTGACACTATGAATAGCTTATATGACTAAGTGTGTACTAGCTTGACAAATGTTGATAGCCAGGAAGAGAAGTTAACTAATTAGATTTTCTTTTTATTTAATTTCTATTTTTAGAATTTTAGATGTGAGATATTTACATCATATCTACTCCTCTTTTTCCCCCACAACGCTTCCTATATCCTCCTACTCCTTTTCAAATTCATGATCTCCTCTTTTTAAATTCTCTCTCTCTCTCTCTCTCTCTCTCTCTCTCTCTCTCTCTCACACACACACACACACACACACACATGCACATACACACACACACCTCTTTACCTTACGCAATCCATTTAGTGTTGGTTGGATGTACACATGTTTAGGGCTGAACACTTGGGATTATATAACCTATCAGGAGGTTTGTTCCTGGAAACATTGATTCCTTCTCTCTCAGCAGCCATTAATTGCCTGCAGGGTTTCCATTTATGGGTAGGACCTTGTGAGATTTTCCCTGTCGATACCGGGTGTCAGCTTATGTTGTCATTATGCAGGTGTTATGTCGGCAGCTGTCTGTCAAGACCTCTTGTATGCAGTTTCCCCAGCGTATCTAGAAGACTGTTTACAGCAGGCATCCAGTTCCTCTGGCTTGATAATCTTCTGCCTCCTTCTGCAGCTGTCCCTGAGTCTTAGCTTTCCTTTTTAATAATGTTTCTTTTTCTAAAGACAGGACTCAACACTTTCCCCCTGATTAGCACTGTTCTCACGTTTTTGAGTCTAAATTGTGATTTTTAATTGAATTTGAATGTTATGTTTCAAAGCAATGCTTATAAACCTAACATAATATCTTAAGCAAGCAAAATAAGCATCTTAATATAAATTAAGCAAAATTAGGAAGCAGAACTGTACTGTTTATTAAAATGAAATTTTCAGGGCTGTAGAGATGGCTTGGCAATTAAGAGCATTTGTTGCTCTTTCAGAGGATCCAGCTTCAGTTTCCAGGACCCACATCATAGTTCACAGCTATCTCTAATATCAGCTTCTGGGTTTATGATGCACTTCTGGCCTCCTCGATCAAACTCTCCATGCACCTGAGGTGTGTGTGTGTGTGTATAAGCACTCATATACATAAATAACTTAAAAATGTAATTATGTTTCCTTTTCCTCTTATATTCATTTTATTTTGAGAATATTTTTATACCTTCGTAAGCGAAATAAAAAAATTAAAAATTAAATAATTCTGGAGAGAACGTATGGAGGAAAGGAAGGGAAGTAGCTCTCCTCTCTGGATTCCAGCCCAGGGTGGTCAGTGGGAGTCACTTGTAGAAAGGGTTTCTGGGGATCTGCAGTTAACACAAGGAGATTTTCTAGAAGGGAAGGCTGGGGAGCTTGGTGAGAAAGAGTTAATATAAATAATTTTAAGACTTGGCCTCTTCATTTTCACGTATGTATCCACCTTTTACTCTCACTTTTACTCTGGCTGGTTTTAACTCACTATGTAGAGCAGGCTGGTCTCTATTTAAACAGAGATCCTCCTGCCTCTGCCTTCTGAATGCAGAGATCAATGGTATACACGGCTATACCTGGCTTCCTGTTCATCTGTCTATGTTGTTACAAGATTGCTTTTAGTGATTTAAAAGATAATTATTTTTACTGGTTTCCTCTTACCAAAATTGGACATAATAATTAGTATGAGTGAGTGTATTTTGTAGGTTGAGAGTTTCTTCAGATAGATTCTTAACTTGAAATTTATGTACAAAAATAAGTAATTGATATATATATTTCATATAATACATCTTGATCATTCTTTTTTCCTTCCCTAACTCCTCCCAGATCATTCTAATTTTGTTTTTTATCTCTCTCTTTTAAAAAAAGAAAAACCTCCCTACTCCCCCTCCACTATATGTTCTCTATCTCTCTGTTTCACAAAAATTCACAGAAATACAGAAACTAAAATCAAAACACACACTAGGTATATCTACCCCATGTCCAGAAGTAGTTAGCCAGTACAAAACAAACTTCATCCTTTTTGTGGAATTTTTGTTTTGTTTTGAAATTGCTTTGTCATATTAATTTTTCAAGGTATTTAAACTGATATCGCCATATTGCCCTTTATAAGTTTAGAAATAGGATTGGCTAGCTGCCATTGTAGTTACAGAATTCTTCACCATCCTTTTCAGTTTTATAACTTCAGTACTTTGGGGGAGGCATGCATGGAGGATCTATGTAAGTAAAGCTCCCAGCTTTAATCAGTAAGTCCAAAAGAATTAGGATAGAAATTTTGTCTAGTTTGTGTAGTTTTATGCTTTCTGGTCTTTCCTTCGTGGTGTGGGATCATATCCCACATTCTCCTCAAGCAGCCTAGGTGGCTCTGGAACCTGTAATTCCCTGACTTTGGCTTCTGAGTACAGGTATTGTGGCCATCAGCCAGGTTTTGTGTAGCTTTTTAATCTGTGGTCATTTGTTACTGTATTTATATAAAATGTTATTTTTTTATGCTATATATTATATGTTCAAGTTTTGTAATGTGCCCTAACTCTTATGTAGGATTTTGAAAAATTCAGTGCGATACAAAGAATTTTCAGTGAAGATCCCTTCTACACTAATAAGACAGGTTCATTCTTCTGACTGTGCAGTTTCTACCAAGCATTTAAGAAATTTTGTTATTTTTG